GAGAACATCTAATCGTGAAGTCCACTAATGAGAACGATTTACCTTGAAGTCCACCACGGAGTGCAATACCTGAGCAGCCACCCTGCGAATTTTACGCATCTACTGGTTTCTACAATTCAGGAACTCTGTTAGGTTATTCTTCCATGAATTATTTATTGTGACCCCACAGTTTGGCTGTACATACCGTTTGCCAGCTGCTCCACTGAAGTTTTACCAGAGGCCTTTGTCTTCTGCTTTTGGGAAGTGGCTGTATCGGTTGCCCGTACTGTCAGCGGAAAGGTAACATATTTTGACAACAGAGGCAAAGCAAATCATTCTCAACAGAAGACTCAAAAGCTACTTTGTTACAACAGCAGCAGTACTTTGAAAGCACAGATTTGCGAATGGTCACGCTCGGCACTATCGCTCCAGTCTACAGCCGTCCACAATGTTGAGAAACGTTCAGTTGAAGCAATAACCAACAGTATCAGTGCGTTCATTTTAGATCCAACTTCAGAGCTTATTTTTGGCGCATGGTTCAGATGTTATGAGGAAATTTTCAAGACGGAGCTGGCAAATCTTGATGATGCGTAAACTCGGAACTGCGGAACACGACAACCACATCAATTACATTTAGCATAAGAGCGCTCTAGGTTTCAATTTTGATGAAGCAATTCTGCGACTCACGGATATGTTCGGTCCTCAGATATCGTTATGCAACAATTGGTACAATTACCTAAATTTGTGCGAAAGGGATAGCTGTAGTTTCATTACCCATACAGCAACTGTGAAGCCTGAACGCCAAAACTTCAAGCTGAAATCACTAACTGAAGATCGACTTAGATGTCCGATATTGGTGTGCAGCCTGCAATTTCCACAGGATGCCAAGATCCGAACAAGAATACTCGAGTTGTTGTAGCAAGAGTCGGATGTCAGACTGTGAACTGTCATTGCAGAGGCCCGGAGCATCATCATCTTAAAACACAATGTAGCTATGGTCGAGGATACAAAGACGCATTCCAATCATTTCGCAGTTCGGCAAATTTTCAGGAGCACATTTTTAGCCACTGACCACAAAAATCCCCACCAAGGTAAGTCACCATCAACCCGTTTGCAATGCGGAGACTGACATTTTGTCAGATGGTGTCCATTCAATGGGCACATCTGCCAGAAATGCCGTAGCCGTGAGCACAAAGAAACCCATTGTAGTTCCGAGCAGCCTTTCGGGCCACTTCATGATGCTCGAATGAAGGTTTGCGTGTATTTTGCAAATGGAGTTAACGCCAATTTTACTGACCATGTTAATGTTAATGGGACGGAACCAGCCAATGAGAGCGTTTTACGCTGAGGGCTATTGATTTGGCCATAAATTGAATGTACCGTTAGTTGGACGTTAAGAAAATATACTTGCCAGCCGTACGCCGGTCTCCTGCTTTGGTAAGTCGGGCTGATCAGAGTGCACGCTAGCAGCAGGTCATCGGTAGGTCAGCCGAAACCATAACATATATTTTTGGCGACGGAAGGTAGTGGATCAAGATGTCAATTCCAACGGAAGACCTGAAAATCATTTTGTTGTAGCAACAGCAGCAATTTGATATAGCACAGCTGCGTATGATTGAAACCCTCACCCAAATGTTATCTGTGCAGCCTACGGTCGTTCAGAACAATGGGAAGCCTTCGGCGGATGCGATGATCAGTAGTGTTAATGTGTTCATATTCGATCCTGACTCAGGATTAATATTCGATGCGTGGTTCAGGCGCTATGAAGATGTTTTCAGGGCAGAGTTGTCAGGTCTCGATGATGCATCTAAACTTCGCCTTTTGTTACGAAAACTCGGAGCGGTTGAACATGACAGATACATTAACTACATTTTACCAAACAACGCGCATGATTTCAGCTTTGATGATACAGTTGCTCGACTCACAGCGTTGTTTGGAGACCAGTCGTCTCTTTTCAATAACCGATACAATTGTCTAAAGCTATGCAAAAAGCACAATGACAGTCTTATTGCTCACGCGGCGATAGTCAAACGTGAATGCCAGAAATTCAAACTGAAGTCGCTCACGGAAGACCAGTTCGAGTGTTTGATACTAGTATGCAGTCTACAGTCCCCAAAAGACGCCGAGATACGAACGAGAATACTTGGTATGTTGGAACGCGACACAGATGTTACATTACAAAACGCCATTGCTGAAACCCAAAGAATCATGAATTTAAAGCACGATACGGCTATGGTGGAAGATTCGAGAGCACATTCCGCAGATATATCTGTCCAGCAAATTTCAGGAAACAACCCACCGACCGCTCAACCTAGCAGATATCCACAATCCAAACCCCCATCACCTTGCTGGCAATGCGGAGGATGGCATTTTGTGAAACGGTGTCCTTTCAGCAAACATGTTTGTCAAAGGTGCTTTAGACGGGGGCACAAGTAGACCCACTGCAGATTCAAAACATCATTTAGATCGTCATGTGATACTCGAAAAGCAGGTTACCGAAGGTTCGCGACAAGAGTAAACGCTAACTATACGGACGATGTTAAAGATAGAAGAAAGTTCGTCACTATTACCATCAACGGAAGAGTAGCGCGTCTGCAGATTGATACGGCTTCCGATATTGCAGTCATTACGGAAAACTTATGGAAAGCTATCGGTTCACCTGACATTAAACCAACTAACCATAAAGCGAAGAGCGCATCAGGTACGAGTCTAAACTTGATCGGTCAGATTGAATGTGAGTGTCGCTTTGCCAACTTCACCGCTTGGGGAACTATTTTCGTCACAACACACAAGAATTTGAACCTCCTTGGATTAGACTGGATTGAGCGATTCAACCTCTTAGATGTTCCCATTAATCAAATCTGTGCAAGTGTACACTTACACAAACCAAAAGTCCCCAAGGCAATGGCAATCGAACAAATTCGAGAGAAATATGCACCTGTTTTCCGTGAAGGACTTGGTAAGTGTACAAAGTTGCAGGCCTCATTGTCCTTAAAACCCGATGCTGTTCCTGTTTTCCGTGCAAAGCGGCCAGTACCTTACGCAGCAGTCCCAATTGTTGACCAGGAACTTGATTATTTGGAGAAACTTGGGGTTATCTATGCAGTGAACTACTCTTCTTGGGCGGCTCCAATTGTGGTTGTCAAGAAGCCGAACGGCCAGATCCGAATATGTGCCGACTTTTCTACTGGGCTGAATGAAGCGTTAAACACGCATCAGTATCCTCTGCCAGTCCCAGATGATTTGTTCTCGAAACTAAATGGGGGTCAGTTTTTTGCCAAGCTAGATCTATCGGATGCGTACTTACAAATAGAAGTTGATGAAGCTTCTAGAGAATTACTGACGATAAATACGCACCGAGGTTAGTATCAGTATCATCGACTTCCATTCGGAGTTAAGTCCGCGCCAGCAATTTTTCAGCAAATCATGGATACTATGCTAACAGATGTAGATGGTGCTGCCGCATATTTGGACGATATCATTGTCGTCGGAACTAACCCAGATGACCTTTTCAGAAAGCTGCACTTAGTACTTGATCGCATACAAGAGTACGGATTTAGACTTCGCCCAGAAAAGTGCACGTTTTTCATGGACTCCATTAATTTTCTTGGCTTCATAATTGACAAGAACGGTAGACGTCCAGATCCGTCAAACATTGATGCTATAAAAAAGATGCCACCTCCCAAAGATGTGCCTACTCTGAGGTCCTTCTTAGGACTCGTCAGTCATTACAGTCAATTTCTGCCACATATGCACAGCGTGCGTGGACCACTCAATGAGTTACTCACCAAGGACAATACTTGCCAGCCGTACGCCGGTCTCCTGCTTTGACAAGTCGGGCTGATCAGAGTGCACGCTAGCAGCAGGTCATCGGTAGGTCAGCCGAAACCATAACAGTTAATGATCGTAGAAAGTACACCACCATCAGCGTCATCGGAAGACAGGCACGCTTGCAGATCGATACGGCTTCAGACACTACAGTACTATCGGAAAAGCTGTGGAAGTTTGTCGAGTCCGCCATCATACAGATTGAACTCCATTATATCAATTTTTGCATTAGCGGGTGGAGGCAGCCTTTCCTGTGCAGCAACGGCACTTGTGTTAATGGACGAGATGATATGCTTATTAAATAACTCGCACAATTCTTCGGGGTCGATAATGAGACTGTCGTCTAATGAGGCAGTTGTTATCGGTTAGTGACGTTGTGCTTTATATCTGTCTTTCATTGTGCGATGCAACATGTGTTTGCGGCTGAGAACTACTAGCGCTTGCTCCTCTTGTGACACAGGCTTTCTTTCATGTTACGCTTGCAGATCCCAGAGAATTTTACTAGTTTGTATGATCACACTTCGTTTTCTTAACTCTGCGTCACATTCGTTTTAAACGCTTCTCAACAGCTTTGTGAATCGGGTTTTGAGGTCGGGGGCAGTGACTTTTTCGATGTTACATTGGTGCAAGTAGGTCGGTGCAGTAGATCAAATACTGACATAACTCATACATAGCCATATCTGGGCTTCCTGTCGGGAAAAGTAATTCTAGTCTTGGGACGGAAGCTGTTCCTGTCCAATTTGCGATACTGTCGATATTGAAAGGCATCGCAGGTCGCTGCTGTTACTTTGACAATCTTGTTACTTGGATAACCTTGTGATTGCTCTCAGGGCGATTGTTAGGAATTTGTGTTAGTGCACTGGATAGACCGAACCTGAAGTGCCGATCAAGACTGTTGGTGCCGAGCGTACTTACTTCGTCCATCTATGTAAAATTAATGAAGAAAGAAAATACTGATATCTAGCGAATGCAGTTTGTTCATGCCATGACAGATTAAGCATCTTGAGATCATTTACTATTCTTATTTCTTTCTTCGCAAATATGCGCTCTTACACCGTGTTTTTTCGTTACCATTCATATATGTTGTGATGCACTCGCATCACCAGTGTTCGGCAATACATCACAATTTTTCCAAGCGTGTTTGTGCTTAACCTCTTGATGATCTCCGTTTACATACTTTCTTGTTTTTTCAGGTCGAATTCCGATGCTGTTGGTTCGACCAAAGACATTCAACAAGGTCTTCCCTGTATCAGCGAACAGATAGGCTTGTGGGAGGTTAGCCCAAGTTTGTACCAGAGCCAACCGAGTGATGTGGATTTAGCCAGCTTTCTAATTCGTTGTCACGCGTTCTGCTCACGAAACATTCACGGAACTGCACACAGTCTATTGGGCCAGTTCGGCACCCTCTCGAATACCCGCGGTTTAATCCCCGTTCACCTTGTTAATGCTTATAAAACAGTTCACTTTTTTTGGCAGTCTCTGCGCGTGGCACTGGACAGTTGGTTCCCCCCACCCCCTACCCTGGTCTCGTACGCTCGTTTGCATTCGAGAGGTTGCGTTTGGCACTTGGTATATCTTACCTCTGACTGCGCACAGTGGCGAGCACTCTGTGTGGTTACGAAGGAGCATGTGGAGCTGGTACAGTTACTTTCGGACCCCGAACCCGTCACTTCCGACTGCATTCCGTCCATAGGCAGTGAAAGTGTCCTGCTGACCGAGATACTTAGGGAAGATTCTTCAGTGAAATCGTCCCCTTCGGGTCCAGAGATATCATGCCCAAAGGCACCAAAGTCCACTCTCCGGCAATCCACCAAGTGGGAGCTGAGTTATCCGGATCCGTACCCCCAATGGCGCTTCGTGTCTTTCACCTCTCACCTTTCCAAACCAGACCAATATTCTAGTTTAGTGGCCATCGGCCACAGTAACGGCTCAATTGACGTCATCGATTTGCTACCGGTAGACCGAGGGCCAGTCGGTAACGGTCAGACACGCATTTTTATCGCTCCTCTTTGTGTCCACTTCTCTGACGACCCGCGCTCTTCATTCTATCCCATCGTTCACATCAGTTTTCTGGATTGGAACAGCCTTGTTGTGTGTCATTTTAGTGGTCACGTGGATTTTTGGCATTTGGATTGGAATGCCAGAAGGTTTCCCGCTCGTTTAATGGTTCGATTCTCCCCAGAGCAATTGTGCTCTGGCCAACATCGGGACGTTGGGCCATTGACCGCTGCAGATTACGATCCACATTCGAAGGTTTTAGTCCTGAGTAGATTGTATTCACGCTCATCTCACCAGAGTAATCTTCCCGGAAGATTGAGCTTGCACTGTTTTCGCGTTACCTCACGTCCTCCGTTTTTAGAATATCTGAAACCAAATAGAAATCATTCTAAAGTATCTGTAGCGGGAACTTTGCTTTCGAAACTCTCTTCCACAAGAACTGCTGCAGTTCGATGGTTTAAAAATACGATTCGATACTTTTACCATCCTCTCCCGCTTGAATTGGACGCTGTCGCATTTTTGCGTTCGCAGTCGACCAGGGGTGGATCAGTCACGGCGGCTTTGCAGTGCTCAGGAACTTGTTCTGTTTGGTCCCTTCCTCGGTTGGATCCCCTGTTCATACTTCTTAGTGGCCCCACCTCACCATCCATTTCTCCTTCGGTAGCTGATGCCACTAATGTGGGCAATCGACCATTTAGACTGACATGGTGGAGAGCACCCGCTGCTGCACAAACACAACCGTCTCCCAACAATGAACGCACTGGCAATTCTGACGACCGACCTCAGTTGGTTATACTGCGCGAGAATGGTGAACTGAACATACTTCAGATAACCGATTCCGAGGAGGTGGATAAATTAGTTCTGACTGAACGACAAATCCATGAGTTGAACTTGTCTCCAAATGCTTCATTCGCCCATGTGAACTCACATCATTTCGAGCACGGTGCTAGAAATATACTCATTTTGGATCAGAAATCTACCCTGGACACTTTATGGAAAAGCACTCTTTACGGAGCTAAAGGGGATGTTGATCGTCGCTTGATTCGGGCCGTCCGACTTGCCTCTACCACGCCATCGGAATTATTCCACCACTTGATAATGAAGGGTGCGTATGGCGAAGCAATCGAGTTCGCCGAATGCCACCATTTCGATGTTGAACTGGTTTATCAAAGGCAATGGCTTGATCTAAGTGGCCAACCCTCTTCTGTTCGTGACCTTCCTGATCTGATCGGTCGTACTTTAAACCTCATCCGTCACCACCCTATTTGGGTTTTAAAGCAATGCTTATCGTTCTTACCGTGCACATCCTCCACCGAGATTACTATCAGCCTATCAGACTTCGTTTTACCGATGCGCTGCCTTCTAGAACATGGTTTATCCCGATTGAGTGACATCTCCAACGAACAACTTCGGAGCACCGCTAGCACGCAGTTTTCCAGGTTACTCTTTCACCTAGACTGCTTGCAAGATATTGTTACTGCGGAAGAGTTAGAGGAGAGTTCATCTTTTTCGGCCTTCGAAGCAAACGATCGTTGTTATCTTTTGAGAGGTTTAGTCGAAATGCTCCGAGTTTTTCGTGACCACTCGTTGCTCGACGTTGCTGTAGGCTATGCACATTCCCAGCGATTCCTCGCAACCAAAGTACTCATGCGTCGTTTGCCAGTTACGGTTGGTCGGCATCGATTGGCTATTGCTTCTAGTCTTTGTGAGACTGTGGATCCGGCGATGTATGTCAACCCTTTACTCGATCTGCACTTTCCCGTAGGCGATGAGCCACAGTACGCTGTCCGTAAGGAGTTGGAGGCGGATGCTGTTGATCGCCTTTATTCTTCCTTCTCTTTACAATTGAACAGAGATTGGATGCTTACTGACGAACTCAACGCATCAAACTATCTGAGGCGCATAACTCCTTGGCTTATGAAACGTACTTACCAAATGGAAGCTCGCAGTGGTTTGGTCAGTCATGCCGTCACTCTTCTGGAAAAAGGATCGGAATTGTGTTTGAAACTGAAAGCGAAAGCCACCGATTGGGTTGACTCTGCCATATGTCTGGATCAGTTGGACCTACTGTGTTGGGAGTTTTCACAGTTTTCCAAGGTTAGAGTTACTTTGTTTCATTTCAATATATTTCTACATTTTATGACAGTGCTGTAATTTCCCTATGGCGTTTATTTGCTTGCTGTCGATGGCTGATAACTTAGGTTACCAAATATTTGTCTTTATTTGACCGCTTTGGATGTATACGTTTTCCTACCCTGGCGCGTGCAAGTTTATATTTGGCAAAAGTGCCCAAGCCATTTGGTGCCTTTTTCGCCCGGGTTTTCGCTCTCAGTGTTTATGCATTTGTAACGATAGAAGCCGTATATGGAAAAGAGCTTCTTGTTTTTCGACTCGATCACTCCTTTTGCTTCCTCATTCTCTCCATCCTTGGTGCTTTGCATCGGGTGTAGCGATAACCGAACTCATTTTGTTCGCTCGCTGTAGGTTTGTTCGAACTGCTTATTTAACTATGCGAGGGATTGTATCTGAAGTACACAGATATCATCAGATGTTGTTGCCCGCTAACAACTCTGCTCTCCACCATACGGTCTTCGCGATTGGTGATTGTACCGCTAGCATACATTGTCCTCCGAATTGAGATTCCATGATGTTGCAATCCATTCACACACAGTGAATGGCCAAAAACAAGCCGACGTTGAGTCGAAAACCGTTGGGACATGTGCTGCCTGCTGACCACCGGGATATAGTGACGAAATTTCTACAGTTGATCTGTAAATTCATGGTTTAGGTCGTCGCTTGGCAACTTCTAACTGTACGACTGGAATGGGATGAATCTGGCCGTGAAACGTAGCTTTGAGGGTAGGTTACATCTTACATTTCGATGGCCATAGTAGCGTTTATTCTTCTTTCACTCGCCGACTACTTAACCCGTCCAGTAAGTACCTTCTCCTTCTGCTACTGAACTGTTAGCATTTCAGTTATTAACGCTTTTGCAACTGACAGTGACATATACACCTCGATGTGGCTTCATATGAAAGTACTCATTACCCGTAGGTGGTAGATCATTCAGTCTCCCAAATGGGACTTCTACCGCTCCTTGATAAAGCAATTTGGTTATTTTGTCCGGTTATCATTCTGCCATCATTTTTCGTCTTGTTGGTTCCCACCGTTACATAGAGTTCAACAGCGTTGCCATGTTTCTCCTAATTTTTAGTCTCTGGCTTGGCTTGCTCTTTTCTAGTTAACTGTCTGCTTACTGTCCAACTAACATGGTACAACTTAGCGTGGAATTTTCGACAACACAGGAATGTGAAGGTACATGTGGGCTTGTCCCACTAGCCTGTTTAGCTTTATTAACAGCGCAGTTAAGAACCGGTTGTGCAGCAATAATTAGCGTAATCACAAACGACGAAACTCACTTCTATCAGCAGTCGCATAACGAATAGAAAAAATATTTGAGTACGAGTCCATACTTGAGCGCTGTACAAAGTCCTTTAGCTAACTACCAATGTATTTCTGTGGTTAACTCTAAATAGTATCATGGACCATCACATCTGTTGCATCATACTAAGAGTACTGTGTATATCTGCAAGTCCGACACCTGTGTGGCTCGCATCATCCGGGCTGGACGAGAACACCTGCATGAAACACGCGTAGGAACTATTCGGAAGGTGTTCGCTCACATTCTGGACGCAGGCATGTTGACTCTCAGTAGCCAATCGTTAAGAATTCCTCCACTCACGGGATAGCTGCATACTGCGACCGTCGTGCATGATTAACAAGTGAGGATTGAATGGGCAGTGACGGGTACCCATCAACGCCTAACACAGAAACACTCTTGCTTTAATCAGTTTTCGCTCCTGAAATTGACCGAAGATGTGCTTGCTTTCACCAGTCTACGGATATACATAAGCCATCAAAAAGCATGAAAATGAATGAAAGGTGCAGTTACCACAAAAACTGAACAAAACAAAGTAATCCATCATTTTGTCAGAGAGCTCGATATACTCCCCGTTTGTCCAAGCCGAAATAGGGTATTGTCGCATGCCACCACTCCGAGGCTTTGTACAAAAAGCCTATTCGAGCGGAAGCGGAACGAGTTCAGAGAATTGCGCCTTTCATGTAGCTGGTTGCCAAACAGAGGCCTAATTCTCTTCACCTTTTCTGCATCGGATTGCTGTAACACCATGCACCATCAGAATGAAGCGAGGGGCAGTTACTTTATTTGGTGTCTAGTCATGTCCTGCACGTCACAATGTTCTTAAACGGACATTTGTAGCTCTTATGGCGTCAACGTTTGCCATTCTAAAACCAACCACCTCCTCGAACACTGCCAACTCAATGGAACCGTATAACTCCGAACCAACTAGCTGGCACCGCGAGGCGGTTGTTCAGAAAGCCAGCTTTTTATCAACTTCATCAATATTCAGCCCAACCGAATAAGTCTGCTTGTAGTATTCGGCGACAGATTAAGAGCAGAGAAAATGAAAACGAATTATTTAGTTATAAGAGATCGAGTAATTAAGCAAAACATCGGTAAAACCGTGTTAAATGTTTAAAAAGTCAACGAACTAAAAGCACTGAGTTATGTTTGCGAAGGTATGTGAAATATAAGCTATGGAAACATTTCTACAAATGTGTATGGTACGACACATAGCCATAAGACGCGCTATATCACATTCAGCTTGCAAATCATGATGGCCCGGAGCTGTCTCCTGTGGCCCAGTTGCATAAAATGCCTACTGGCGGTGCAAGTCGCATTTGGTCATGGGTTCGAATCCTCATGAATGCTCACTATTGATGATGCATAACAAGTTGACACTGCAGTCTAGTGCTTTTCCGGGCATTTGAAAAACTCTGATTTGGAAGCCAGTGCGACGAACTCTCGAGGTGCTTATTTAATGTGTTCTGACGTGTTGATACCTAACCGCATGCAGAAAAGCGAAATTGTATTTTCTTTCTCACCACTTACATATTCAGCACTACTTGTTGCACCTCTCAAGAAATTTTCGCTCTATCATTTATTGTGGCCTTGCAGGTGGCATCATAAGTTGATGCGCCATTTCAAACCACAAAGAACGTTAAGGCACAAAATCACTAACATGGTATGTGTTGACGAACCGGGTACTCAACTGGAAAGTACTGAATTCGTGCAGTGAAATAGGATTTCAAAACAGAGAGTGGGGTTTTAGTTCTAAAACTGCCAGTGCACCAGTGTTTAAACCGATTTTTGATGATTCTTTCAGCACGAAGATATTGAAAAGTTCTATACCACTTAGCTGCTATACTGACGCTTTTGCGTTTGCTTCGCACATGTCGCATGCAGATTGCTGCCTTAGCAAGGACCGACAATACCATGGCTCTCAAGGCCACTGGTAGCCTCACGTTATTTTTTCTGCCACCAGTATTAACATCACATTTGACGATCAAATCTCCACATAAGTTTCCTTACATTTCCACGATCTTATAGCTTTTCAGAGATTCAGTCATATATGGCGATGGTGTGCAGCCTTGACTTCTCGGCCAACTTTTAGTTTTACAGTGACCAATACACGTGATTATGCGTGGAAGATACGAAGAAACTTTGAACTCCTGTATCAAGTCCTCTTTGGGGATACTTAGTGAACACTGAGGGTGAAATATTGAGATCCTCCAATGTGTGTTTGTGTGTCCGTACACCATTTTGTGCTTCGTCAGAGCGTCCATTTCGCTGGCATCGTTTACATTGGCTACGGCGCGTTTTTTTGTATACCCACCGATTCAGCACGGCAGCTTGTGTTCGTTGCCAACACTTATCTTAATTAGATGAAATTCAAGTGAGGTTGATTGTTGGCGGTGAAAATGTGCATTGAGAAGCTGACCGTCAGAGTTAGCTGGCTAACGCGTGTCCCTTTCTTGATGTGTCCTCGTGATCGGCCATGCCAGATGTTTAATACTCTGTCCGACGTAGCTCATTTACATGGTTATTAACACCACTCGGTTCCATCTTTCTCCTACACATTTCTACTTTAATCCTGTTGCTTTTGTCGCTCTTGCATGTGCTATTTTTTGTTCACAAGCTTACTTTTCCTCCCTGGCAGTTTCATTTGTCATCTTGACTGCGTAGGTCATAGCAACCGGACCTACCGCGCTTAGTTTTGGGGTTGTGGTATTTTTCTCAGCTGATCTAGACTTGATATTTTGTGCTTTCTTCCTGACATTTCATCCCCGTTCACCCTATCCCCAATCATGGTTATATTATCCTTAGTTGTTCCCGTTCGTACTTGGTTATTAGTGCTTCTGACTGCAACTGTTTTGCGTTTCTCTGACACCCGTGCCACCTTTGGGTAGCACCAAATAAGGCGTATGGAGCACGCGATTCACTAGGAACCATCTAGCAACCCACCCTCCTCTTCAGCCTTCCTCTGTCTGCTCACGCCGTTCCGTTTTCAGTCGCATTTGAACACACATTCCGCATTTCCACTCTGTGATCAATCCAAATGTTCTAGCTATGAGTGAATCGTTTGCCGGCATCAAACGGATTTTTAATTAATTTGTAAGGGCTTCATTGTAGTCAGATCCCAACCAGACGGCCTCCCACACTCCCGAAATGCGCTAGACGCCCATTTCCTCCTATCAGAGCCCGTCAGTAGAGCCCGCCTTGGCCCTACCGGAGATCGTATCAATGACTTCTCGACTCCAACAACGTATTCCTTTAGGTCATTGTTGACTGCGACAGACAATTTCGACTGATGGCTAGTTGGTTAATTTCCCTTTTCATGGATACTCAAGAACAACAGAGAAGTATCGACACTCCCTTTCCGGTTCTGCCGTTTGGCCACTACTCAGTCTCTCAGTCGTACAACGAAACCACTGAATTGGGCGATCTTTCATATTATTGTGAAGTATTTTGTCAATTCGTTACAGTATTGCCTGTAGTCACCGTTACGTGGATGGTTTGCGACACGCAATCATTTTTGGGCCTGGAGGCGGATCTCAGATGACGAATCTGTGGATGACACAAAGGAAGCAATGCGCCACACACACGGTGTCAACCAACCTGTTTGCGAAACTTCAACAAGCTGACCAGTCGGCTTGAAGGGTAGCTAGAAGTCTCCTAGGCCTTGACTCTTTCTGACGATTCTCATTCCCGTATTTCTCACTGTTTCTTTATACTCAGTAACTGTTCTTTCTTGTCTGCATCACCATTGCTTTCTGATTGTTTATCTACGACTAATTGGATAAACCCAGTTTTCTAATTTTTCAAAATTGCGTTTCCTGTGTTTCTCTTACAAGCGTCTAGTTCACTGGTAGCCATACTGATCAGTTAAAGTTGTGTAGTCATTCAAATGTTCAGCTTGCAATCTATTCACCCCGGTTTCCAGTCTCTGCTGCTTTTGGGTTTGGGAACCCCGGTAGTATCTCTGTCTGTATACATCCGCACGACAACGAGGTTTCAGTGCGAGACAGGAGTGTATTTGTTGATAACCTACCTTTTCCCTGAAGCGGTCCACTAGCACGATTCACGCTCGGCCTTGGGAGTGGTGCATGTTTAATTATTTTCTCTTTTGCTGCACTGCCATGTATCCGTTGCTTCTCAGCATATACTATGGCATCGTTTCAGTTGACTGATGGTACCGATCTCTGATCACACATTTTATATTGATGACCATAGTCGCTGCCACAATGGCCTTTCACAGTACTTGCATTTGACATCGCTCTCCACCCCTATGCTCTACGTACTCCACCTTCTCGATTTTTTAGTCCAAATATTTCGTTGCAGATTGATGCTTGTTAGTCGTTTCCACTTTGCTTGTGCCTCTATCTGATAAATCATGCCCACCTCTTCGTATCATCGGATTGCTAAGTGTTCTAAGCAATAATCAAACTATCGACGGATAGAGCCCCCACAACAACAAGGACTATCCTCATGCACTCGACGTTGGTGTGTTACCACCCCACAACCATTGATTGTAGTAGGTGTCGATACCGAGTCATTTTTTGCATGGTATGATAAACTGCAACAACCCTTACCAAGGAGTCTTTTAGTCTATTTCAGGGCCAAAAAGACGCACTCAGCATAGTTTTGGACGTTTTCTGTCTTCCAACTAGTGATATCCTCAGGTGCATCCAGGGTGAATAGGTTTTTGACTCGTTCCTGTACATTTTCACTTTTGTAGAATAGTACTCGTGTGGATTATGACTCGTAGCACCTGTTCCTGCTCAAACGGATTTACCGGTTTCTGTTCTCTTAATAAACTATCGTAAGCAATTTGCTTCTGGTTCATATTAACCATGTGGCTTACCTTCCAAGTGCTGCATACACTCGCAGTCTGATTGTTTGAGTTTATGGGTAAATTTCTGGTCACATGTGCTGCGTCACATTCGTAGTCGCGAAGGCCTCACGACAAGCATTTTAGGTTTTTACATAAGTAATTATCGTCGCCACATTATCTTTATTGCGGGCCGCCAATTTGACATGCCTGCTATTGACCATGATATGCCTTACTCACACAGGTTATCTACCGCCAACACAAAGGATCCGAACGAAACACAATGCGTTCAACGGTTTCAGTCGATTCGCATCACGGTCGACCGATCACCTTGGCAAGATTCAGCCTGTCACACTTCCTCTCTCTTAGCTTGGAGGACCGTGTGGATATGTTGCTTCAGTGCAGCTTTCCCGGAGGTAAAAGCATCTCATCCATTGGTACACCCGTGTCACACTCGGTGCTGGTTGAATGGGGTCAACTCATCCTGTACATTAATCGCGTGTTGAGTGGGAGCGAGGTGTTCATCAAGCGCCGGCGAAAACAGCTCCTCACGCATGCCTTATTGCGAAGTGCTGTGCACAACGGGTTCCATCTGCATCGGATGCTTGTCGAGTTGATCAGTGCGGGGACGGTAGATGAAATCTTCTCCTTGGATGAACGGTGTGCGAAATTTCTGGAGCCCAGCTCCAGTGTGATGGCACCGTCTGGTGAGTGTGCAAGTGAGATCATTTGTACTATACTTCACTCCAGTTCAACCCGTAAGCCACGATCTGTGCGTCAAAATTCGGTCGGTGTGGAATGATTATAATCTAACTGGAATGGGAAAAGTCAGAACTGGGTGCTAATGATCTCAATACTCTTCTCCGATCTTGTTTTAATACTCTACACAAGATGCGTCTTACTTTTGAAGCCTAACTTGCTGTTCCGTTGTTTTCACACAACGTTTCTTTGAACGTCGTTGCCATTTTTCCGCGGGTTCGAATATCCCAAATTCTCATTGTTAGCATTTAGCTACAGTAGTTGTATTGCTTACTGTGTTCATACTGACGGTAAGGTGTTAATCATTTAACCATATTAAGTGGCGAAACGATCTATGTTCTCAATCGATTTTCGCCGCACGTTGATTTACTCGGACATCGTCTTCAACTTGAGAAATCCATCCAGATCGATTATGCTTACATAAAATCACCCGCGATTACTCACAATGCTATTTTATGTGTGTGGTCTAGCTAGTCCCTGGCCATTTTCCTCTGTACCTCCCTAATATACATAGTAGTGACGGAGGATTTGCGCCGTATTATGGCTAGCTGCACCCAGCTACGTCAACCGCAGTCATCCTTCGTTGTGTTAGCGTGATGCACAAGTAGTTCATTCTCTGACTCACTGGTCTCTCCTCATGCGGAGTGCTGCGTGATATGCGTGACGTGTTACTGGGTGTAAGAACGGAGCCTGAATGCATCCCTTCTTGAGTGGATCATGCATGTCTTCATCGACGCTTACTACGGGACGTTGCGCTCTCTACCACAACCTACCTGTTGGCGTATGAATATACCGTAACCTCTCTTCCTCGTTCCCTTGAACAAAAGCAATAACCCAACTCTCTTCCTGCTCAAGCTTGATTTAAAAGGATTGTGAATTCAGTACCATCTGCCTCTTTCGTAATTGCATTTCGGTTATGTGTTCTGGCTTGCCATCTTGGAGTACTTGAGTGATATGTTTCAGGTTGAGTTAGGTCAAACTATTTTTCTAATATTCATGGCTGTATTCAGCGAAGCACTGTACACTACGATACCTTATCCAAATTTACTAGTTTCAATATGCTTTTCAAGTCGCGGCTGACCCACTGTCAACTGTTGTTGTCACCGAACAACAAATTAAAGTACTCGATCTGTTTACTCAATAGATCCCCGAGTAGAACGCTGCTTATCTTTTAAAAAATAACCTTTTTCATTACACCGAGATGTTGGCTCAGCTATAAAGGCCACTTTTCACAACACTACATTTATGCCAGTGTTACTTCTTTGCGTTGCTGCGATACTTTGCCCATCCTCGTCTACCATTGTAAGAAAATTGTTGTTAACGGTAAGACTTCCGAGGCTGCAGATGTTCCACGTACTCTAGACCTTTTCCTTACTGACTTTTTGGCTTGACGATTAAGTCAGTTCTCTATTTTTGAACTAATAGACTTGTTGTAAGTAAAACCGTTGTATTAAAGAGTAGAGGTGGAAATCTTGTGATAACATTCTCCTCTAGTAGGTCCATAGAAGTTCCTCGCTAGTCTTCCTCCATCCTTCTTTGTCTTTCTCCCACCTAGACTAAAGCTAGTGAGCTCGTCTTGCAATCCGACGGCGCGGATTCGAGCCTACGTAGAGACAGGGCTACCCTCGCAGTATCCTAGCTCGCGCGCGACTGGCGGCGGTTGCGCGACAGCGAAGCGTCGGTACTGCGTACCCGCTTACTCTTGATGCCTTTTTCTCACCTATGTATTGACTGTCAAAAGACTGACTATGGTTTCCAGGCATGTGCTTATTGTGTACTCGTCTTTCAGAATGCGCATAGCCTTTCACCTCGTTTTCTTCCACATTTGCAGTCTGTCTCCGACTTATGTCAAACGACAATCCTTGCCCTCACTTTGTGAGTGTGGTTGTGAGTGTGTATTCTTTCTTGTAACTTTGTATAATTGACAGAAACGCCCTGTCCGACCGACTGTGATCCTAATGACTGTGGCTATTTACTTTGCGTCTCTAGTATGTCGAGTAGCCTACTCGACTCAGTGCGTTTAGCAGAATAACTTATGTGATCATTGTTTCGGTCTTCCAGAATAGTTTCATCTACATCGCTTTACTTACTTAGGGGCCGCGTCCGAGTCAGCGTATACACCGTACTATTTCTTATTTTTACCTATGCTCCCACAGACCAGCGCTCACAGTTCACCGAAGTGAGCTTTTCTCCGAACCTATCACCCCCGTTTGTATGACTAGACAATGTTATGATCGCTTCTTGTAGTGAATGTCCAGTTAAGCAGCTTATCGGAGATAAAACTGTACCCTGTCTTCTGTGGGGCACCGCGGCAATGTTGTTTATCGAGTCAGGTTGGATAACTAAGCCCTCGGACGCGCACCTCTTCAACATACAGTTTGATGTTTTACCAACCAAACCTTGTGAAAACGGAACCCTAACTTCTGTACTTTCGTTTACTTTTATGAAACAGTAGATTTGGTGCACCGCTAACAATGTACAACCCTTGGGGCGTCAGTATGCAAAAGCGGATTGTCACTCATCTGACTGCCGCCAGCGTTTAGGTTTAAGAGGCATGCCCCATTATTTTCATTGCTGAGCGTTCCATCTGTGGCACCTGCACCTTCAACAGAGGCAGATCAACACCATCTGTATGTTGAACTTCAGAGCTTCTACCATTAGTCTTTTTACTCTCTGGTTCCTAAAGACATTTATTTTCCTTGCAAGGCCTTCTCGGTTGCTCGCTTCATGGGAAAATTTGGCATCTCAACTGAAGCTATGACAAGTGGCATGATCTCACCATGTGACCTCATCCTTCATGAACCACCATCACGACCAACCTATGGATTTACCTAAACTTGTCTACCCTTCTGTCAACAATCTTCAGTATGCCCGTGAATTGGTTGATTCGGGGATTAACTCGGCTCGTAGCCGAGTGGTCTGTGCGCCTGATTTGCAGTTCTAAGGTCCCTGATTCGAATCCGCGTAGGGGTGAGCGTTTTCGCTCCATACTCGGCCCGCGCGCTACTGGTGTTGGTCACGCGGCAGCGAGGCGCTGTTACGGCGTACAGCTGACACATTATTATTTATTATCACTCAATATTAGAAGGGAATGTGCTCAAGCAGTCCAAAACCGCCTGCTGTCCCTTACTCCTATACTAAAACTTAAGGATTCCAAAACCAAAAAGCATTATATATGCTATCCGAAGTGGAAGTGACACGATGTTACTTTTCCAAACACTGACACCCAACGACCGACGGTTCCGTCTTCATTTGAACTCATCAGATTGAGTTAGCTTGAGCTAAGCTGGAACTCGAGGCTTGGTTCTTAACGGCTGACGCTTTGACTATTAGGCCCGTGAGCAACGCACGGCACAGCGGTAAGGAATTCAAAGTTGGATTTGGAGTACTTACTGTGTGGTTTGATTGCGACACGCCCTTCCTGCGCCAGATACACGACACCGCGCACACTCATTGTTGTGATAATTGAACCTAATACTCGTATTCCTGTCGAGCTGATGGGCCAGATTTTGCAACCGTACAAGTGAGTTGAACCGACGGCTGCGTTGTAAACTCTGTCCCTCAGGACCAGAGTGATTTCGCACCGTCACCACGCACTCATCTTACTTCGTCCTCTCTTTTCGCCCATTGCGCTTTGTTACTTATGCAGTTCTTCTGCACCACCAGTTGTGTCATTGTTCATCTGATGCTGCATCTCTTCCCGCACTTTCATGCCTTTGTTTTACTGATTACTGGTTAGAAGCAGCAAGTAGAGTTTGCTTTCTGTGGCTGCATCTAATGTCACTCAGGGACAAAGATCCGTTATGTTGTGTTGTGCTCAATATATTTTATGTCGGCAAAGTTTTGTCCAGGAATTTCTTAAATTTCGACACCGACTTTGCCTCAACTACGTGCTGCGGCAAGTCGTTCCATACATTCACCACTCTGCGTTCGAAACAGAAATGGTGAGCGACCCACTTCAAATCCGGTACGACAAGCTTGTACCGGTGTCCTCGTGTGCTGCTTGGTGTGCACAGATGAAGCATCGGCCTCAACATAGGATAATCTCCCAGATGTAATATCCGGTGCGTCATGATGAGGTCAACCCTCAATTGACGGTAAGCTAAGGTGTACAGCCCTAGTTTCTTACATCGGTCTTCGTACGGCACACCTCGTAAGTTGCGAATCAGCCTGGTCGCTACATGCTGCATTTGCTCAATGTTTTCTACCCAGCCCCGGGTGATAGGACAATACGCCAGAGAGCCATACTCTAGCATTGCTCGTATTATTGAGAAGAAGAGGGGAGTGGCAATCTCTTCGGACCAAGTGCTGAAGCTGCGCCTGAGCGCCCAAGGCATGCGAAGGCGATATTTTTGTGAGTGGACCCTGTATGGATGAATGCATGTATATTTCTCGACTGTGCTAGTTACAGTCCAACTACTTGGACTGATCATTTGGTACGATAGAATCTCAAAATTTCCAGAACGGTTCCAAATCAGATTTTTGAGTAGTTCAATCAGAAAAAATGGTGAAAAGGAGAGTTTGAAAGTTGGATGAAATTGATTATTGTGAAAAACACAATAGAATTAATACGGCTTTCCGTGGAACCGTCTCGTAGGGACCTGCTTCCATGCGGAGTAGTCCCTCGAAACGTTTCATTCGAACTTCCACGTCACATTTGGCTTCTTGTTGGTGGTGTGGCACAAAAAACTAGCGTTGTTATATATTATGAGTATTAGGCTCACAGGCACAAGTTAGCTCTCTGTTTTTCATTTGTTAACTACTCTTTTTGGCCATTCAGCCCTTTTCGGCTTCTGACTCTTTCAAGCCTGACACTTTTTCACTCTAGGAGTGTGTGCCAATTTGCTTTGAGTAGGCATATTTTTTCTCATCAGTTGGTCTGTGACAATTCGCCACACGTCATAAATTAAATTATCCGGCAGCTTCATTCTATCACCTCAGGAGATCA